CCCGTGTACCTCCCTTCTCTTCTGACTTTGGAACAATTTGTTTTCAGTGAGTTTCATCTCAGAGTGGCCAGGGAGCGCATACACAGGTTACTCCATCTGGTCATTAGCTTTGTTAAATTGGTCTGCACACCTTGGGTGCTTTGCTCACCTGGATATATCCAATGACTAGAGAATCTACAGCTAAACCCTTCAGCATCACTGTCTGCATCTTTAAGCATGTGCAGCAAAAATTCAACACTCTTTTCGGGCCACCAGCCCTGTGTCCTGCCCTGCTGTTTGATCTGGGAGCACGTACTGACTGCACCACCGTACTGCTATACACTACAATGTGTGCAACAACAGCGCACATTGCTTTTGTAGGGCGACTTCTAACACACTTCAGACTTTCGGCGGCTTTTCAAATATGCCTACCCTCAATGGCATGGGCAGTTTCACGGACGTTCTTAAAGTGAACACAAAGATTTGAATCTCTTGATTTGCATGATTTTGTAGGGTTGTCTGGGTCACTAGAGTAGCAAACCATCTTCACAGGTCACCTCAGGGGCTTATGGGAAGGGGACAAAGGTGATAGGGTCCTAAAAGAGAGTACAAAGCAACACGGAAGTGATGTTTGTATCTGGCAATACTTTTTCTTTTCAAGTAGTAAGTGTACAAATAGGGTTTTATTAAGACATTATCAGGCACTGTAATATTCACCCTTCACTGTTGGGAGCAGTGAACCCCTGATCCTGAATTTCTTGTAAACAACTTGTTTTCCCCTGATCTGAGTGCCTACAGCTGGTCTGAGCACGAGACCCTCAGGAGTTCCTGATGGCAGGGGAATGGTTTCTGGTGCGCTTGGCTTGGGCGTGGCTATCCCTATATAAGCTGCCCCTGAACACAATAAAGAGGGTATTCTTGGGGGCATTTCTGTTTCAAGGATGACTCGTGTCTCTCTCTGTCTTTGTGTGTTTCAGTCTCCAGCCCCTTTCCCTGTCCATGAACTGTATGGTGGCACATAGAGCGCAGATGGGCGTGGTGCACTGCACTTCACGATCCTCTCGATCCTCTTGTGCCCCTGGACCACTGGGGCTCGTCCCTGTCTCTTCACAGACACTCCCCTTCTGCTTTCATGTTTTCTCTTCATTTTTTCTAATGCACATTCCACATAGGAGAGAAAATGTGCTATTTATCTTTCTTAGTCTTTATCCTTTTGCTAGACAGGATGATGTCCAGTTCTATCCACTTTCCTGAAAAGGACATAATAGCATTACCCTTTATGTATATGTGCACTGTCTTTACCCATTCATCTGCTAGCGGTCGCTTGACTTGGTTACGTAATTTGGCTATTATAAATAGTGTCTCAATACGACTGCATGCTGACTTGGATTCCTTTGGGTGTACATCCAGGAATGTTAGGGTTGGGTCATTTGGTAGTCAGTACTTCCATTTTTGTTCTTTGAGCAACTTCTCTTCTGATGTCCTTAGTGGCTATTTTAATTTACATTCCCCGGGAGAGCATAAAAGAGTGATTCCCCCCTGTAACCTAACCAGATTTTGTTGTTTTCTTGACGCTAGCTGTTGGGGGAGGCTGCTCGTTCGTTCCCAGCCCCACACAGAAACTGTATTATTTAAATCACTGCTTAACCTAGACGTTAGCACGGGATGAGATATGGGGGTTTGGTTTAGTTTTCTACGTGTAAATACTTTTTAAAGACACATTTGTTGAAGAGATTGTATTTTCTCCAACATGTTTTTGCCACCCTTCAAAAATCAGAAGGCTTGTTTCTGTGCACTACAGCCTGTTCCATTCATCTACTTTTCTGTTTTTGTGCCAGGACCACATGAGTTCATTACTATAGCTATGAGGTACAATTTGAAATTGGCATTGTGATACGCCTAACACTGCTCTTTCTCTTAAAGATTGCTTTGGATGCTTTGGAAAATTGTGTTTCCATATAGATTTATAAGTGGATTTTTTTTTAGTTGTGTTAAAAATGCCATTGATATTTTGGTTAAGATTGTATTGAATCTATAGATCACTCTTTAAATTTCCTTTTGGATTTTTTTCAATGGCTAACCAATCATTTGAACATATATGTTATGTTGTTCAATTTCTGGGTTTGAATAGCTTTTTCTAGTTTCTCTTTTTATTGATCTATAATTTTATTCCATTATGATCTGATAAGATTCAAGAACTTATTGCCTTCTCCTTTTTGTATTTGCTAAAATTTGTTTTATGGATTAAAATGTGGTCTGTTTTAGAGGAAGTCAGAGAGTTGGTGGGAAGAATGTGTATTCCATAGCTACTGAACATGCTGCAAATGTCGACGTGTTTTCTTGTCCATTCAACCTACTGTGCAGGCTTTTATTTTATTTTATTGTTCTAAGTTTCTTGCAAGTATATATTCTGTTTTAAGCATATTCACTCTCAAAATGTCCTAACTACTGTTTAGTTTAACTCAGAAGCTCCTCTGTTGATTTTTTTTTTAATTTGGAAGATTCACTATTGATAACAATGGGTTATTGGATTCACTAGTACAGTATTTTGGATCTCTTTGTTTCTTCATGTCCTGTAGTTTGTGTTTCATAATAATTGTGGTGGTTTGGATGAGAATAGCCCCTGTTGGTTCATATGTTTGAATACATAGTCTCCAGTTAGTGGAACTGTTTAAGAAAGATTAGGAAAAATGACCTTATTAGAAGACGTGTGTCACTGGGGATTTGCTGTGAGGTTTCAGAAGTCCCTGCCTGGTCCAGTAGTCCCATCTTTACCCCCTGTCTGGGGATCAGAATGTAAAGTCCTCAGCTTCTGCTCCAGCACCATGCCTATCTACTTCCTGCCATGGTGATAATACGCTAATGTAGTTGTATATTATTTTATTTTAATAAATAAAGCTTGCCTGAAGGTCGATGCAAAGCAGTCACACCAGTCAGCCATACAGGCCAGACACTGGTGATACACACCTTTAATCCAGCAGCCGCACTAGTTAGCCATAGAGGCTGGCGGTGGTGCACACCTTTAATCCCGGCACTTGAGAGGAATATGAAATGGGAGGAGACAGGTTTCACACTCAGTCTCATTCTGAGGATTCTTGGAGAGAGGATCACCATTTCAATTTGAGGTAGAGGTAAGAGCCAGTGGCTGCTTGCTTTGCTTCTCTGATCTTCAGGTTGAACCCCAATATCTGTCTCTGGGTCTTTATTATTCATGCTACAGACTAATCCTCGGAAACTGTAAGCAAGTCAATTAAATGCTTTCTTTTGTAAGAGTTGCCTTGGTCATGGTGTCTCTTCACAGCAATTAAACGATAACTAAGACAGACGTGTATCTTACAATGATTAAAGAATAAGTTTAAGAAAAAGAAAGATCGACAATGATAATTTTGTATGTGTTCAATAATAGAATCTCAAAATACATGAAATAAAAATGGACAGAATCAAAGGGAATAATTTATAACTCCACAATCACAGTAGGAAATTTACCAATACAAAGAACTAGAATTTCTAAGTCACTTAATGTATAGATGACTTGTGTAACTATTAGATTCTTACTGACTTAAGCTCCATTAAACTATCCTAACTGATACTTACTATGGTATCATTATTGGCTGAGACATGTACATGATCCATGAAGACATCATACATTCCATACATGTTATTCTTGACATATGTAATGGTTGTTGCCTTTTAGGAAGACAGAAGATGAATCCTTATTTGCAGTCATCAGCTGAAGTTAGAATTTGGAGATGGAGTGAAGAGAAGGCTCAGTGGTTAAAACACTTGTTGCTCTTGCAAAGGACTTGGGGTCCATTCCCAGTACCCACATGGCCTTTACAATTCCAATTTCAGTGTTTTTGATGCCCCTTTGGTCTCTGTGGGTATTACATGCAGGTGGCATACATATAAACATGCAGGAAAAACATTCATACACATAGAATAAAAACAATAAATTTTGAGAAAAGAATTTAAAGCTACTAAAGCCTTCTCTAGAAAGAAAAAGAAAATTACTGAATTTTAATATAACTTCTAAGTTCTGATTTTATTTTTTCATCCTAACATTTGTAGGAAGAAGTTAAGGCCAAAAGAAACCAACCTAGAGTCTGTATGGTGATGTCAGAGATCCTGATCATGCCTAGCCAAAAAGGAATGACCAAGTGGTGTTTCCTGAGAGGTCCTGATCATGCCTAGTCAATGAGGGATGAGCATGAAATATCAACTGTCCATGGACCAGAAAGCCTGGGTGCTGGAGAGGGTATGTAAGTTTTCCCCACTGTTAAATAAATGAGTCTGCTGTAAGCCTTCTACCTGACTCCCAGTGTCTGTGTTCCTTGATGTTTCACCTTTTCACCCCCTCACTTGAGGAAGATGTTAGGGTCCAGCAACAAACACTATCTTTACCTCATTGTTCTTTGGCTCTTTTACTGTTAGGGCTTAAGTCAGAAAACAAAACGTTTCGAAACTTAAGAGTACAACAGGCAGGTAAAAATGCTAACTGTAAGGTGGCTGAAAGTATTTCTAGACTTTAAATCTTAAAAATCTTTAAATCTGAAATAGAAGTGGGGAATTTTCTTTGCTTTGGCTGACCCACAATGTAAATCAAATGAAAAAGCAGATAGGTCTCTGCACAACCCCTAGATGTTGAAGAAAACTGAACTCGATCCCATGTAAACAGACCAATTGCTGGACAGATAGTTGAGTAAGTCATTCACTTAACTCTAATGCATATGTATTCTGCCAAGTTTTATTACTTTCAGAATCAACTGCAAGTTCAGATTATTAGATGTAAATCAGAAGGCAACTTTCCAAGTTGAGAGTAGAGAACTGCCTTAGTCTATGAATAAAAACTTTGCACAGGGTTGACTAACAGAAGCTTCAAAGCCTGTGATTAATCAGGAAGGTGTGGATTAAAGAGCAGATGGGGTTGTGTGCTGGGATTGCTCTTGGATGGCTAATGTACAAGCTGTGTCTTAGTCCTTTTCTGCTGCTGTAACTTAAGTCCTTGAGACCATGTGACTTATAATGAATAGAGGTTTACTTAACTAGTAACAAAACAAAAAAATCTGTGGGCATGATGATTTTAGAACTTGATTTGACAGAGGGAATTGCATGGTGAGACTGTGAAATGGGTGTGCTGGGCTCTCCTTTCTTCTTAGTGAGGAACCAGTTCCAACATGGGATTGGAGCACATCCTCATGATCTTAAAACATCCTAAGTATCTACCAAAAGCTCAAGCTACAGACATCACCTTTGTATTAATCGGTGATTAAGTCTCCACTAGAGGAAAGTTGAGTAACACATTCAACTCAAATTACCCAACAAATTTAGACGTAAGAGCCAGAGTCTACGACAAATGGATGCCATTGCTGTGAACGCTGTCTTTATCCTCTGTGTCTTCAATCCCTTTCGGGTAATTTCTAACCATGTGGAGTAGAAGGCAGACAGCAGGGAAGGGCAGAAAGAAGACTACAATGGTGTAGTGAAGAACACATCTTGCCACTTCCAGAAGTAATGGCTAGTTTCTCTGTAAGCTGCCTCCACCGCAGACCACATCAACATCACAGCAAGTGCAGCAAGAATAAATACTGAGAAAGTCCGACTGTGACACTTCAGTCTCCCCCCAGGAATGTCTTATCTTTCATCCATTAACACGGCCTTAGGCCACGGATGTTCTCTATGAACTGCATGCAGATAAGAAATCAAATCTTTAACATTTTGAATGAGCTTTGGTTTTTATAAGTCTTTATAGCTGCTGGCTTCATTTACCTTTCAAAGAAAAACAAATGAGCTGCCTGCATGCATCATTGTAGCTAAGGAATTTAAATTCTTTCAGCACTAAAGGGATAGGGAGGGCAAAAATTGAGATCAACTTTTGGCATGATACTTAGGGCAAGTAAAACATGTACTAATGAAAAATGATTCATTCTGAAATGTTAGTCTACATCATGAATCAGTAGGAGAAAAAAAGCCCTTGAAGGTTAATGGTTTTAGAAATAAGATTCGAAATTGAAAAATAGACGTGATGTAAAATCCTCAATAGGCTATAAGAAATAATTCAATTTATTATTGTATTACTATGGCCATATCATGTCCAGAAAAGGAATTGAAACTGAGAAACCATGTTACTCAGTGTTTTTCCAACCAGATATAACTGAATTTTAACATTGTGTAGTTGTATGTGAATGGCACCTACATAGTGAGTTTTGACATGTTGCAGTCTCCATGTAAAGGACATCTTTATCAACAACTGGCTTAAAAATAAGTAATTTTTCTTATTGTGATGAAACTCTTCATCCTTTCCCCTTTCTTTTTATTATTAAATATAGTGAAACTCAGAGTTGAGCATGATTTGATTGAGATCAAAGATTATAATCCAGTTGATTGATATAATTTTATTAACTAAGCATAAGACTTTTTTATGTAAAGTCAGGATGTCATACATTTTTAGGTAAATAATTACCCCAAATATAGACTTTTTTGTTAGTGTGATAAAAAGATGTTGATAATATAGGTAAGTTGTATTTCTGAAGAATTTATATTAAGACCAATGTAACAGAACAAAGCCAGAAGCATGTTAAATTCAGTGTAAAACCCTTCAAAACGTTCCTTTTGCCAATAGGATAGTGTCTACAATAATACAGATTTAATAAAAATTCAATTTTAAAATTGATCATTTTCATTCTTTGTTTAAAAATAGCTCTTATTCTTAGCGCATAAAAAAGCAAAAAGTGTTTTTCACAAGTGAACTCATGAGGAAAATCTTGAATATCTTCTCTGTAGCCCCAGTTTCAAGTCAAAAGACTAGGTCGGTGTCCATGTGACTTAAGTCCCAGCTGTATAAGTGCTTCAGAGGTGTTTAGAAGATTGCTTATGGCAGGGATAGCACAGCCTGAAACATGGTTTTCTGGACTTGTGGAGATTTTCTAAGCCTCCTTATAGTGATGAAGGCAGCTGAAAGACAGTAGCTGAATCTCTCATTTTTCTCCAATAAAGTACTTTGGGAGGTTCTTCTATGATATCCAGTACAGCCAACAGCTGAGTCTGCATCTCAGACTACTTGCATATATGTATGCAGTTAGGTACCTTAAAATAAAACTTCATAGGTTTTATTTTAAAGGTGGTGCATGCCTTTAATCCCAGCACTTGGGAGGCAGAGGCAGGCAGGTCTCTGTGAGTTCGAGGCCAGCCTGGTCTACTAGAGCTAGTTCCAGGACAGCTAGGACCATTACACAGAGAAACCATGTCTTGAATAGATAGATAGATAGATAGATAGATAGATAAATGAAACTTCATTTGGTGGGCAACTTACAGTTAAACTACTAAAGCAATACACATGTGAATTATCAGCATATAAAAATAAATATGCAAATGACTGTAATATACTTTTCCAAAATAGCATCTTTAATAGGGCACCTTTCATAAGACTCTTTATGAAGTGACATACTTTAGGCTGTTTTATATTTCAGAAGTACTTAGAAGCAGCGGTTCTTATTTTTAAATAGAAAAGTGTCTTTCCAGCCACACCCAAATAAATGGGATGTGTGCACATGAAGAACCAGTGCTTATAAACAAGTTTATTGTAAATTAAAGCATCAATTAAACAAGTTTAATAAGCACTTTACACTCATAAGCAGCTTTTTAAAATACTGAATGCTCTAAGGTACAAAGTCTGATATTGGTTTTCCACTCCAGGAGCAGCAAGTCTACACAGAAACTCAAGTCAATACAATGGGTCCTATCAGGTGTAGTTTGCTTAACGAAGCCCCACTAAAATGTCATGTTCTGCAAATAGCATAAGAAGAGTGAAGAAAGTGTAAAAGTCAATTTTCTTTAATTGGGTAGAGAATTTAGATACTTCAGAAAAATTCTATCAAGGGCAAGCTTAAAGAACAGGACTATTTAAACATACAACGTAGACTATATCCTCATGACTGATTGTATCCACTGTCCTCCCTACCCTTAAAAAACCCAGCAATCTAAGAAACCATTTTGGTATGCTTGCTGCAGATGATGTGGTCTGGGAATTTGGACAGGACACAGGATTTGTTCGTCTCTAGTCTCCTGTTGGATGACTTAAACAACTCAGGGCTAGAACAGCTGAGAACAAAGTTGATTAATGACAGGGCTGGAACGATGGGAAGGCTTGGCTGAGCTATCACTATTGACCACATCTAGATATGGTCTCTGCTTGAGGTTCTGTGTTCTACAGAATTGTTTCTGGGTTCTAAGAGGTTCAAGCTAACAGAATGCGTTCTAAGAACTTATGGCAGCTTTTAACTGCCGCAGTTATTACATTTGTTCCGGGTCCTAGAGAAATCTAGTGGCCGTAGATTTGGATTTGGAAAGTCGAATGCTTTGCTGATGGCACAAATCCCTGAATATATACAGTGGGTACTACAACTGTCCGTCAAAATCTACCTGGCCTTCTTGAGGAAGAGTTATGGGTAGGCCCATGACATTGCCCAGAGACATTCTTCAGCCTCGTCTGAACTAGACACAATCAAGGCACTGCCTTTCCACGGCGAAATGTGAGTGGGAATGTCTATTTTTGAGCCATAGCCTTAAGACATAGGACGTTATCACCCTCCATGATCTCCTTTTCTTCTCAGAAAGTAGGTCATGGAGTTCCCTGACAAGCTTTCAGATATGCAACTGCAAAGATGCCATAATTACTAGTAGAGCAAGAAAGAGAAGGCAAAAGTCCTCTGACGGCCTCAGGCAGAAGAGCCAGCCTGATAGCTTGCTGTTCTGTGCAGTCCTGTACACAAATATTACTGTTTCATTACAATAACAAAAACTTTATGTAGGTTATTTATGAAAAGTGTTTTTTTTAATAATAAAAAAAATCAAAACTGAGCTCACAGTTCTTGAGGCTTTAAGTCTAAATGGCTTCACTTCTGCAAAGACTGTCTCGTGGTAGAGAGAGATGCCAGCAAAGAATGCCAAAGTGTGCAGTTGTGATGCCTGTTTGGGGCTGTCAGCTTGACCACATCTGGAACTGACTTAAACCCCAAGTGGCCAGATTCACCTGTAAGGGGTTTTTCTTAATTAAATCTTTTCAGTGGAAAGATGCACTTTAAATCCAGATCTTTTGAAGGGGCGTGGTCCTTGGAATAAGAATTGCTCCCATTGGCTTTTGGTGAGCTGCTTGGATTAGGAGGTGTGCCCTTGTTGGAGTAGGTGTGGTACTGGGTGTAGACTTTGAGGTTTCAAGTCTGCTCCAGGCCCAGTATCCCTTTCTGTGCCTCTGTAGACCAGGATGTAGCTCTCGGCTACTTCT